GCGGCAGCACATGCCCGGGGGGGGCACAGCTAGGTGGGCTGCAGGCTGCCATGTATGTTTCCTGAGCGCGTGGGAGACCACGCTGCCCGTGCCACACCTCCCGGGGCGCCGTCTGCCCTGCCCCTGCTGCCTGTGGAGCGCTGGGGAAGGCTTTCTCCTCCATCCCTGACCCTCCCCCAGGATCAGAAGGACGATCCCATGGCAGAGCCGTCCCAAAATTGCCTACAAGACCCACTGCCTAAGACTGGGGCTGCGGTGCAGCAACCTGGCTCTGGCCACTGGGGAAGACAGCCCGGCTTTCCCTGGCTGCCAAGCAGATGCACTTGGAAGGGGCGGGGTCTTGGGTGGAAGGGGTGGGGCCTCTGGAGAAAGGGGGACAGACTGGCTGGGAGTGGGTGTGGCCTCAGGTGGAAGGGGCGGGGCCTTGGGCAGAAAGGGGCGGGGCTGGAGCTTGCCATCCCCCGCTGGCCTTTCACCCAATGCCCATGTGCCATGGTTAGGATGCTAGCGCAGTACCTAGGAGCCTCTGTGCTCTGCCAGGGTCCCCATGTGACTTCAGTTAACTCCCTTAGCGTCTCTGGGCCTCAGTTTCCCCACCCGTAAAATGTGGCTAATAGCCCTGCCTAAGGATAAAAATGTAAGTTCATGGTACTACAGATGCTATGGTCATAGGGAACAATGAAGTACCTAAGGGTATGTCTACACTGCCGTCCTAGTTCGAATAGGGTGGCTAATGTAGGCATTCGAACTTGCAAATGAAGCCCGGGATTTAAATATCCCAAGCTTTATTTGCATGTTCCCAGGCGCCGCCATTTTTAAATGCCCCGTAGTTCAAACTCCCTGCCCGCGGCTACACGCGGCACGGACTAGGTAGTTCCAATTAAAGCTCCTAATTCGAACTACCATTACTCCTCATTGCAGGCGCCTGGGAACATGCAAATAAAGCCCGGGATAGTTAAATCCCGGACTTCATTTGCAAGTTCGAATGCCTACATTAGCCACCCTAGTTCGAACTAGGGTGGCAGTGTAGACATACCCTAAGGGCTTTTCTCCACTGCACTGGGAATGGGTGCTGTGGCGATCAATCCACCAGCCAGATGAGAAGAGTGGCCGGTGTCAATGGGAGAGCCTCTCCCGCCGTCCTTCCCACACACAAGATGCCGTGGTGAGCACGCCGGGGCTAGCATAGACACAGCCTAAGAGAAAGTCTTAGCCAGGAGTGCTGTATGATTACTTCTCTCAGGTCAGACCCCACCCCGATACTCATGGTTCATCGGAACCACTGGGATTGGAAAGATCAATCCAGAGCAAGCTCTCTTGTGACTCTCCCGCTACTTCCTCCCTTTCGTTTTGGAATATTTTCCCTGCTGCCTGGGGGAGTTCAGAGGAGGCGTGGGAATGCAGCATCCGGTTTCCCAGGCTGGTCAAAAGTTTTCTGTCTCTCTTGTTAATTTCCCCCCCTGCAGGTATTCTCCTTGGCAGGATCCACCTTTAGCCTCCCCTCCTCCCACATTTTCGGAAGCCCCCTGACTTCTGGCCTGTCTATGAACCCTCTCTTGAACCAGTCTGAAAGCAGCCGGGCAGGTATGTGAGTCGCCAGGTAGGTGAGTCGGAACTCAGAAACCCTCCCTGGGTGAATTGAGATGACACATCTGCAGTGAGCCCCCCTCCTCCTGCTGTCTCCCCGTCCCAAGGGCTGGAGGGCTGAGGCCCTGTGCTAGGAAGTAGGAACTGTTGAGATCAGAGGCTTTGTCAGCTCCGGCTATGTCTTCCTTGACTGGGATGTCAGCAAGCCCAGGGGTCATCCTGGGATGTGAGCTCACAGGTTGCAGACTGCGCCTCTGGGCGTGGACTAGAACGGTGCCAAAATATAACCTGTTTGAGATTTCATCATTTGAACACACTCGATCTGACTAGGGATGTACAAGTGTAGCCGATAAACCGATAAGCAAAAGCAAATAGGTTCATGCTAGAGACTACATGCTTCCCACCCAGTACATTTTTTAGCAGGCTGGCCAGCTCAGCCCTGTCTTGCGATGGGTCCTGGACCTACCCCCGCTGTGGCTCAGCATTTAAAGCATATTAGGAGCCAGGCAGGGAGGCAGCCTGGCTCAGTTCTGGCTCGTGCCCGGTCCAGGAGCTCTGACTCCCCCCTCTCCGCAGACGTGCTACCGCCTCTGTATCAGAGGCAACAGTGTGGGGCAATAGGCAGCAAGTCTGCCAGGGGAGGCAGCAGTGCAGAGAGACAGGGGTCTTCTTGGGAGTGAGGCCAGAGTGCACTGGCTGTCGGCCCCGCCCCTAGGGACTATAGAATACTCGACTATCCGATAAAGAGTTTATGAGGTTACTCGACTCTTCGATTAACTGATATTTAACATCCCTAATCTGCACACACGTGGTGAAAATATGTTGGAAAAGTTGGCACCAACTTTTGCAGTAACAGCATTGGGCCTTTGTTTTGTTTCGGGATGATTTCATCCCCCTTCGACTCTGCCTTCTCCATGCACCGCAACAAAGGCGGCAATTTGCACATTGAAACCATTCTGGCACCAAATGAGCCCTTGGAATGGTTTGGTATTTTCCTTTCCAAAACAGGCTCATTTGCCTTGGAAAAGGGCCGAACTCATGAGAGGGAAACTTCCTGCATTACAGTGAAATTTTCGTACCAAGCGAGCTTTGCAACGAAATGCAAAAAGAAAAGCCCCCTGCCCCGATTTCCAGCCATTTTGCCTTTGGGTGTAACTATCTCGCGCTCCTCTGAGCCAGAATTTTCAGGAGGTCAGAGAAAGTTGGATGCTGAACTCTTGGGAAAATCTACCAGTACGTGCCACAACAGGGCAAGGGCCGGCAAAATACGGAGGCAGCCTGCAAACCTTCAGATCCGGCCTGCCACGATACTTCGGGTTGCCAGTGGCATCTGTTATACCAAAAAGTCACTTATTCCCTCTGTCTCTATCTGCACAGAGACTTTTAAACAGAAAACTCTTCCTTGGAAGTCTCTCAAATAACATCCATTGCATGTTGTAGGGAGAGGGGCAGGGCCAAGTCTAAATATGTGGTAGTTCTCAGATCCTCAATTCGGTCATTAACTTCCAGTTATGTATTTGCTTCAGAGAAAACAAAATGCACATGCGAGGGGTGGGCGGAAGAGAAGAGTAGGAAATGAAAGGGGGAGAGACCATCCATCTCTGACTTGCTGGCCAGGTACTGAAAGGCCCCTGGCATGCAGGCCCGCCAACAGGGAATGGGAGGGCAAAGGGGGAAGTTGCCCCAGGGCTTGGTGATTCAAAGGAGCCCAGGGCTCCAGGCTGCCGTTGGCCTTTCAATCACCTCCAGAGAGCTTCTTGTGGCTGGGGCATGAGCCATGCTCCATGTGGTGTGAAGGGCTGGCCGCTTCCATCCCTTCTGCCCAAGACCCCTTCCAGGACTGAAGAGCCACCCCCCTCACACACACCTTCTCCAGGGTCCCGCGCAGGCTGGCAGCTCCCCTGCTAGACACTGATGAATCCCAGCTGCAATTCCCTGGCTCAGGAAAAATCTGACTGGGTCATCCTGACTCGAATAATTCCTTAGGGAGCAAAGCTCCTATGGAATCACATCACACCAATATTTACAGCTTACCAGAGCCATTGCAGAAAAGGGCTGAGCCAAGCTCTCCAGAGGGCAAAGGGGAGACCTGAGAATAAGGCCAGGATGGAAACTGCACATGAGGTAAGGAAACCGGAACATTTGGGGCATGTGTCAGGAACTGCTCAGCACACCGTCATGGAGAGTCAGCGTGCCCAGTCACATGGATTATGAAATCTGAGTAAAGGCCTAATGGGACTGTAAGTCTCTGCATGCAAAGAGCTCAGCCTGTCAATTTCCACTTGGATGCCTAAGATGCAGGACACACCCAGCAGGACATTCAAAGTGCCTAGGCACCTAACTGCCTTTAATTTTAATGGGGTCTAGGCACTTTTAAAACCCTACTAGGTACCTGTCTTCACCTTCAGGCCCCTGGCAATAGAGAGGTGACTTAAATCTGTGCTGCAATATTGAATTGTCTGAGAGGCTTGAGGGTCCGGTAATACACATTAGGAAGGGGGTGCCATGCCACTGGCCAGAAGTTTCCCAGTCACTGATTCACACAGGCAATTTTTTTAACCTACTCAACTGTGACAGATAAGAACTTGGGCTCTTTTGGGAAATAATGTGATTTCCCCACAGAACCACGTCCCTCCAAGAGATAAGTCTCAATATTACTGGATTGGTCTGCATAAATCTGAGAGTGCCGGCTGGCTGTGGGAGGATGGCTCAGATCTTTTGACAGAGAAAGCAGATTGGTAAGTTATAAATGCTTAGGACCAAACTGCAGCCTGTCCTGTGTGGTGGTGCAGTGGGAAAGGATGGGCCCTATGTACTCTCCTACACTGTCTGTGAAGTGACCAGAAGCACTAGCAGCTTCTGTAGGGCTGCTACTCCCTAGCCTATGTGGGTGAGGAAGGAATGGAGCGTTGATAATCACTCACGGGGCACTGACAGCACAGCTGAGCTGGCCTGTGGGGAGGGCAATCTGACCTAGTTGTAGGGCACATGCACATTACTTACACCAGGGAAATGGGCAGGCACGTACTAGGGATGTAAAAGTGTAGTCAATTAACTGATTTAAACTGGCTCCCCTCATGGCCTAGCTCCCACCTGGTACCCCACGCTGCTGTCTCTGATACAGATACAGAGGCAGCAGTGCAGAGAGACAGGGGTCTTCTTGGGAGTGAGGCCAGAGTGCACTGGCTGTCGGCCCCGCCCCTAGGGACTATAGAATACTCGACTATCCGATAAAGAGTTTATGAGGTTACTCGACTCTTCGATTAACTGATATTTAACATCCCTAATCTGCACACACGTGGTGAAAATATGTTGGAAAAGTTGGCACCAACTTTTGCAGTAACAGCATTGGGCCTTTGTTTTGTTTCGGGATGATTTCATCCCCCTTCGACTCTGCCTTCTCCATGCACCGCAACAAAGGCGGCAATTTGCACATTGAAACCATTCTGGCACCAAATGAGCCCTTGGAATGGTTTGGTATTTTCCTTTCCAAAACAGGCTCATTTGCCTTGGAAAAGGGCCGAACTCATGAGAGGGAAACTTCCTGCATTACAGTGAAATTTTCGTACCAAGCGAGCTCATTTTGTAGTTTGCAACGAAATGCAAAAAGAAAAGCCCCCTGCCCCGATTTCCAGCCATTTTGCCTTTGGGTGTAACTATCTCGCGCTCCTCTGAGCCAGAATTTTCAGGAGGTCAGAGAAAGTTGGATGCTGAACTCTTGGGAAAATCTACCAGTACGTGCCACAACAGGGCAAGGGCCGGCAAAATACGGAGGCGGCCTGCAAACCTTCAGATCCGGCCTGCCACGATACTTCGGGTTGCCAGTGTCCCGTGGCCCTGTGGGACCCTAGGCAGGCTCCCCACTGGCTGCTGCCCCACATGCCGCTTTGAGCGCAGCAGTCTGGACCATGCCTGAAGGCCCCGTTGGGATACTGGCCAGGATAGGCGCCTCCCGGTCAGAGCCCACACCTGGAACCCCACCCCCTCCCTTACCCCAATTCCGTGCCCCAGGTCATAACCCAAAACCTCAGAACTCCTTCCTGCAACCATGCCCCTGGTCACACACCCCTCTCAGACCCTGCATCCCCTCTGCACCCCTCCTACAAGTCAGAATCCTCTCCTGTACCCATGCCCTCTCCCAGACCTTTCCCTGCCTCCTGAACCCCGATCCCCTGCCCTAGATCACAACCCCCCTCCTTCACCCAGACCCCACAGCCCCTCCTGGGCCCCAATTCCCACCCCCGAGCTCCCTTCTGCATCCAAACTCCATGCCAGACCCCGCCCCTCCTCCATTAATATCATAGGTTACGTCTAAACTGCAGGCTTCTTGAGCAAGAGCATGTCCACACTGCAAAAGCGCATCGGAAAAGCGCTGCATGGACTCTCTCTCACAAGAAAGCTCTGATTGCCATTAACAGAACGGCCACCAGGGCACCTGTGCTTCTTTCGATAGGCTGTTTTTGAGCAAAAACCCCGTTTCCTGTCCACACACACCTTTTTCCGCACGAGCTCTTGTGCAAAAAGATTTATTCCTTGTAGAAAGAGGAATATCTGTACCGCAAAAACCCCTTTGTTCTTCCAATGTACTGTACATTTTCTTGCGCAAAAACACGCTTGCAGTGTGGACGCTCCGTGAGCTTTTGCGCAAAAACTCTGCAGTCTAGATGTCGCCTCCGACCCTGCATCCCCTCTTTCTTGTCACCTTTTGTGATCTCTCTGTCCTAGGGATGTGAAGGTTTAACCGGTTAACCGGAAAACCTCACCCTTAATGCAGGCAGCTTTACTACTGAAAGTTAATTTGTGGGGGCTGGGGTAACTCCTCTCCTGCCGTGGGCAGGGGCTGCTCCAGCCTGGGTGGGACAGTGTACACCTGTGGAAGGTGAGGAGAGGAATTCCAGCCCAGTGGCAGGTGAGGGGGCCGCTGCCCCCTTTAATCAGTTAACCAGTTAAATAATGTTTAACCAGTGAGCCAGTGAATTGGGATTTTACATCCCTACTTTGCCCCCAGTCCCTGATCTGTCGTAGGGATTGGTTTGCGTACTGGAATTGTTGCTCTGTGTGTCCTGGGAGGTAGGGCAGGGCTCTTACCCCCCTCTTGCTGCTGGGGCACCGTGGCGGGGAGCACTAAGTCACTCACGGGATGTCACACGGGCTGCTTTGAGCAGGGGGGATCCTGTGTTCCTGATCCTGCGTTCCACTGAGCCGCCCTTCCTCCTGATCCTGCGTTCTGGAGATGGGTTTCTGTGAAGATGCTCCCAACCCTCCTCCTCCTCTGTCTTCATGTCCTCCAAAGCATGGGTTCCCAAACTGGGGGGCGTGCCACCCCGGGGGGGGAGGGCACAAGGCAACCCAGCCACACACACACCCCGTCAATCCCACCCCAAGTTTTGTTATTTTTTTGGGAGGGGGGCCATGAGGGTTTCTCAAAAATCAGAAAGGGGGGCGTGATGCTGAAAACTTTGGGACTTTGAGAAGGTGGCTACTTCTCCCCCGGAGGGGAGGAGCCAGTTGAATTTGACTGACAGTCAGGCACACCTATCTGGAGGGGAAGGCGGGACTTCCAGTCCATCTGCCATTCCAGGAGGGGCCTCTCCAAGGGGACTCCGCAGAGCTGCTGCCTGTCAATAACCAGCTTGGGGGGGCATGAGGGGGTGGGGATCAGGGAAAGGAAATGGCTG